AAATTCAACAGACCTGCTTTGCTTGTTACTTATTGCTTATCCCTGTATTTTTTTAAAAAAATATATATTTTCATTGCTTTCAGAGAGGAAGGGAGATGGAGAGAGATAGAACCATCAATGGCGAGAGAGAATCGTGGATCGGCTGCCTCCTGCACACCCCACGCTGGGGGTCCAGCCGGCAACCTGGGCATGTGCCCTGACCTGGAATAGAACCGTGACCTCCTGGTTCATAGGCCAACGCTCAGCCACTGAGCCACACCAGCCGGGCTCTCTTTGTAATTTCTAACTCAGCACTTTTTATTACTAAGATTGACCTTGACACTGTCCGTGACCCGAAGGACGTTGCTTGGGTTTCCTCTTAAGGTGACAATCAGGGCACACCAACCCCTTCCAAGGCTCCCCCCGTTTTTCCGGGGGGGTGGTGGGGAGGATGACTGGAAGCCTGTCACCTTCCCCTGATTCACTTCACAAGGAAAACCCAGGGAGGAATCCTAAGTTTAGAGGGAAAATCTCATCATGACATCACCACAGCCCGAGCAGCTGACCTCAACAGTGGAGGCCAAGAAACTGGAAAATCGAAATTTTAATAGGATGAGTTCAACCATCACAGTGGGACGGGAAGTGGGTCCCCTGGATACAATTTGGGGGACACTTGCGACTAACAGAAATGAGAATCTGAAGGCCCGGAAGGATCGAGGTAGCCCGCTTTTCTGTTTTCTTGATCATTCAGAAAGCCTGGGCAAACCTTGTCATTACTGATGAATATCACCTAGGAGACGGCTAACTCCCATTACGAGGTGAGTTTGTTTTTTTTAAATATATTTCATTGATTTTTTACAGAGAGGAAGGGAGAGGGATAGAGAGTCAGAAACATCGATGAGAGAGAAACATCGATCAGCTGCCTCCTGCACATCTCCTACTGGGGATGTGCCCGCAACCGAGGTACATTTCCTTGGCCGGAATCGAACCTGAGACCTTTCAGTCCACAGGCCGACGCTCTATCCACTGAGCCAAACTGGCTAGGGCTCGAGGTGAGTTTAATGGAAAGGTTTTATGCAGGTGAAGTTTGCCTCCTTGTTGCATGGGAGACCCGTCTCACTAACGTAGGCTCTGAGACCAGGAATAACCTGTTCAAATGAAATAAAGCCCATTCATCTTGCCAGAATTCACCTGCTCCTTTGTTTAACACCAACCAGATGATGTAATCTGCCCCGTCCTTACTTACAGGGATGCTTCTAAAGAGGCAACCAGCCCTGGCTGGTTTGGCTTAGTGCAGTGGTTCTCAACCTTCTGGCCCTTTAAATACAGTTCCTCATGTTGTGACCCAACCATAAAATTATTTTCGTTGCTACTTCATCACTGTCATGTTGCTACTGTTATGAATCGTCATGTAAATATCTGATATGCAGGATGGTCTTAGGCGACCCCTGTGAAAGGGTCATTCGGGTGCCGAAGGGGTCGCGACCCACAGGTTGAGAACCGCTGGCTTAGTGGATAGAGCGTCGGCCTGCGGACTGAAGGGTCCCGGGTTCGATTCTGGTCAAGGGCACATGCCTAGGTTATGGGCTTGGTCCCCAGTGGGGGGCGTGCAGGAGGCAGCCAATCAATGATTCCCTCTCATCATTAATGTTTCTATCTCTCTCTTCCTCTCCCTTCCTCTCTAAAATTAATAAAAATATATTTTAAAAAATAAAGAGGCAATCAAACATTATCGCCTCAGCCTGGTTAGGAATAATGAGGCCACTGCCTGGGTCTTCATCATACCACAAGCAAGAGGCCACCCCCTCGAACCCCGCCAAACACACACGCAACCCAAGTCCAGATCTTGTTGGAGAGAGCAGGTCTGTGTCTTATTTTGGTGAGGGGGGGGGGGAGTAAAGGGGAGGCTAAATGTTTATTAAACCAAACTTTTAAGTTAGATCTACCTACAGTTCGTAAACAAACAGTACACATGTGAGTAAAAGGCTCCGAGGTTAGAACAGGTGCAAAAACTAAAGCTCCGTTTCCACCACTCCTGGGGCCGATGTCCTGTGAGTTGTTATAGCTTAGAGTTAAGTGAAAAACCTGAAGGAGTTTCGCTCAACCCCACCTGCCAGCATGGATTTCAAGACTTCCAGGTTTTCCTCGTTAGCGTTGGTTCGGTGAGAGCGAAGCAACAGTATTGTTTTTTACATGCACAGACGGGCTGAAACAGTACACATTAAGCTTCTCTTCTAGATTTCTCCCTCCCTATGACCACAGTTAGTAAGACATGAGATGTCAAAGAAGCGCTAGACCACAGGTAGTTACAAAAACAGGTAACTCGTAGGATAATGAGCGCCTGCCGTTAGCAGAGCGCACGTCTGACAAATTTCATACCTTTTCAGGTGCCGGAGAACGGTGTTCGCCCGCAGGTGTCCCCGAGGCATTCTGCGATGAAACTGCCCAAGGGGGTGGCCTGGAGAAGCTGCTGGCCCCTGGACGCTGGGGACCCCCGGGCACTGCAGGCGTCAGATGCGGGGGAAGCCACCTGTGCCCCAGGAGTCTGCAGACAGAAAGAACCACACTGTGACCAGCAAGCAGGCTCCTTCTTCTTATACTAGAGCCACTACAGTGCCCTCTGCTGACAAAGCTGGACATCTGGCGGGGCCGGGCAGAGGGAAAATATTTAAAGGAGCCCACTGTGCTTTCACGGAGCAGCCAAAAAGGATGCACGTGGAGCTGAGAGGCAGTAAGCTGGTGACTGGCACAGGTGTGTCCGTACAAATCCTCATACAAGAATACGGGTGACATCCGTTATTTCCATCATTCGGTGCCCATTCTATTTGCATCCTGTCAATTATTTTAGTTCATTGTGAGGGCCAGGATTTTTTTTCTAATTTATGAATCCCAGGGCTTGCCAGAAATTTCCATTGTCTGTTCTCAGGACAGACTTGCTAAGTGTGAAAGTGCAAACAGTCCGGCCACACTAGAACAGACAGACTCTGGAGCCGGTTGCTTACGTTTGAATATGATTCCGCCACTTACTGGCTGAATGACCTTGAGCAATGGTTTCACCTTGCCTGTGCCTCGGTTTCCTCACCTGTATAATGGGAACACGAGTGCCCAACTTACTGTGCCAATTAGATAAATGAATATGGAAATATCTCACTTGCTAGCAGTAATCCCTTTCTGAAAAGTCAGATTTCTGCAGGGAAACCTGGAGCCTGTCTTATTTTTAAAAAGAAAAACTTGAATATGTCACAAACCAACCAACCTTACCTCCCTCTCCCACCAAGCAATTTCTTAAACTGTAACTAAACATAGTAAATCCCTCCACATAAACCATCATACTATGATGGCAAATGCTCAAAACATGACTGGTGATGACCAAATGATATTAGCAAATGGTGTTTCCTATGCATGACCCTCTCCTCTTCTCTGTAGTCATTTTTCTCTCTCATTTTGCTGCTTCTCTACAGTGTTCTCCAATGCTTTCCCAACGTGGTTTTTTTAAAATATATATATATATTTTATCGATTTTTTCCAGAGAGGAAGGGAGAGGGACAGAGAGTCAGAAACATCAATGAGAGAGAAACATCGATCAGCTGCCTCCTGCACACTCCCCATTGGGGATGTGCCTGCAACCAAGGTACATGCCCTTGACCGGAATCGAACCTGGGACCCTTTAGTCCGCAGGCCGACGCTCTATCCACTGAGCCAAACCAGTCAGGCCCAACATGGTTTTGAACTCTGTAACTCCAGGCAAAAACACGGGCTAAATAGGAAAGTCGGCAGGACGCAGGTTCAAGGCCAAAGCACAAGGGCAGGTAAAGGTGTACACGGGGCAGCATGGGCTTCCAGAAACAACAAAACATTCTGTTTCTTTGTTATGGGGTGAAGCCACAACATTAGAAACAAAGAAACAGAATTTCTGGAGGAAGAGGCCCAGAAATCAGGATTTTAAAAAGATTCCCAGGTGATTCTAATGGGCAGCCAAGGTTGAGAACCACTGCTTTAGAACATGCAAGACCCTGACCAGTTTGGCTCATTGGATAGAGCATAGGCCTGCAGACTGAAGGGCCCCAGGTTCGATTCTGGTCAAGGGCATGTACCTTGGTTTCGGGCACATCCCCAGTAGGGGGCGTGCAGGAGGCAGCTGATCCATGTTTCTCTCTCATCGATGTTTCTAACTCTCTAACCCTCTCCCTTCTTCTCTGTAAAAAATCAATAAAACATATTTTAAAATAAATAAAATAAAACACGATGCAAGGGTTTATTGATCTTATTCGTCTGGCTCATTAACCTTACCAATAGATGTATTCTGTCATTCACTCACTCATTCTTGCCTTTCTTCCTTCCAAAAATAGTTTGGGGGCTCCCAAGGCGGGCCAGGCCCCGTTGCTGGCCTTGGGGGATAAACTGGTGGATGAGATATGGAGCCAACAAATTAGGGGGGAAATTAGGGCTCGGTTGTGGCAGCTGCTTGGAGGGTACACGAGGCTGCAACAGCAGGTGACTAGCTCACCTTAGGCCCCAACTGGTTCTCAACCTTCTGGCCCTTTAAATACAGTTCCTCACGTTGTGACCCAACCATAAAACTATTTTCGTTGCTACTTCATAACTGCCATGTTGCTACTGTTATGAATCGTCACGTAAATATCTGATATGCAGGATGGTCTTAGGCGACCCCTGTGAAAGGGTCGTTGGACCGCCAAAGGGGTCGCGACCCACAGGTTGAGAACCGCTGCTAGGGATAAGCTGGCCCGGGAGGGAGGCAGGAGGAGGAGCACCCCGCGGAGGAGGGGCCCGCGCACTGGGGCAGAAAAGTGAGACTGAATCCCTCACCACGCGGGACCCGAGGGGAGAACGCGAAATTCTATTACTCGTTTTGCAACCGGAAGCCAGACCTTTCTCTCCAGCCCAAGCCTGAGGCTGCGGCCGCGATTCCGGGCTAGTTGGCCCCGCCCCGGAACCTTGTGTCGCCGGAACTCGCGGTCCCAGTGCCTCGCGTTCCCCACCCGGCGCAGCTCTCCTACGGCACTTCCGGTTGAGAAAACATGGCCGCGGCCGTGCGCGACTCACGTGGGAGTGCGGGGAAGAAGCTGAAACACGCCGTCAAGAGGAAAAAGAAGATGAAAATGGTAGCCAAGGCTGCTGCATCGGAGCTGGAAGATGAGGGCCAAGACGCTGCCGACGTGGGAGGTAACGTACCGCGGCGGGGCGTTGGCCGATCGCAGCAAAGGCCGGGCGGAGTTTGCGGGCAGAGGGGGATGCGGCGCCTTTGCTCCGAGCCGCCCGGACTTCACCTCCGCGGGGCGTCCTATAATACATTGCTGGGATGACAGTCATGACCTTTACGATAGCAATTTCCTTCTTCATACAGAGCATGGACCCCGATCGGGATGTGTTGGGTTCTGCACGCACTGATCCGGCCTCTGCATTGGCCCGGGTTGCGGCATCTGACTTCTTTCAAACCCTTGCTCTACCCTTAAAACAAACAATCAAAAACTTGCGTATCAGCTTTGTGGACGATACCCCCCAAAAGTCGCTCTTTTTTCATTGTCTTTCTTTTAGAAGAACATTGCACACACTTTTGCAGTTGGTTAAACTGATCTATCTTACCCTCCAATGCCTGTGATCCCAGCAGAGGTTCTCAACCTGTGGGTCGCGACCCCTTTGGCGGTCGAACGATCCTTTCACAGGGGTCGCCTAAGACCATCCTGCATATCAGATATTTACATGACGATTCATAACAGTAGCAACATGACAGTGAAGAAGTAGCAACGAAAGTAATTTTATGGTTGGGTCACAACGTGAGGAACTGTATTTAAAGGGCCAGAAGGTTGAGAACCACTGCTTTAGGGAGAGAAACTTGGAGGGTTTTTCCTTTTTTCCCTTCCCTCCCTCATCCTCCCTGAGGACTCAGCGCATCATATGGAGGAGCTGGGAGGCTTCTTAAAACTGGGTCCCCGTTCCAGGTGCTAATAAATAAGGTCAGTGACTCGCTCTCCTGCCGGCCTGTGGCCATATCTGGGGATCAGGGACAGATGGCGAGTTTGAAAGGGAGAGGAGATGAGAAATGCCAGTGTCTGCTGCCCTGCCCTAGATGTTAGCCACGAATTAAAATGAAGTAAAATGTAAAACTCCAGGTTTGAAGCCCGCAGGAGGCTTCCCGTGAATGCAGAAAGGTCTACTTGGAACCCTTGGTAATTGCTGCCCGAGGGCCCCGAATTCTCAAAAAAACCCCACAAAAGTGTGCAGGATGGTCAGGCCTGGGGCTGATCGCCTCTCCCGGTGATTCTCAGTAGCGTTATAATACTTCCAATGTTGGCGTTATAATATTTTAAACAATAAATAATTTTTTTAATATATTTTATTGAATTTTTACAGAGAAGAAGGGAGAGGGACAGAGAGTTAGAAACATCGATGAGAGAGGTCGATCAGCTGCCTCCTGCACAGCCCCCAGTAGGGATGTGCCCGCAACCCAGGTACATGCCCTTGACCGGAATCGAACCTGGGACCCTTGAGTCCGCAGGCTGACGCTCTATCCACTGAGCCAAACCGGTTCGGCAATAAATAATTTTTTAAAAAATAAAATAAAGATTACTTAGTTGAAAACTCAAAAAAAAATCTCATCTGTATGTGATGCAGTATACTTTTAAGAACCAGTTCTACTTTCAGATCTGTATGGTGATTGTCTTTGGTATCCTAGCAGTAGGCCCTGCGTTTTAGTGGCTGGAAGAACTCATTGCATTGCCGCTTTTCATTTACTTACATAAAAATCATCATTTCCATCGGCAGTGAATGCCTGGCTTAAATCTTCTGGGCTAAAGCTTCTTTTTAAAAAAATAAATAAAATAAAAACTATGACATCAGTGACTTCTTCTGGGTTGTTGTTTGTTTGTTTTTTTTAATTGGTGGGGTGAGTGCTGGTTTATAACATGGCGTTAGAAAACTTTTCACAGATGTATCGTGTTCCCGTATGTGAGTGTTATGGTAGCCAAGCTGGGGAGGAAACACACCAAAGAAAATAGTCCGTTTAGAAGTGGAGAGTCCGAGTGGCTTACACAAAGCCTCTGGCCGCCTCTACAGCGCAGCTGAAAAAACGTGAAACGTGCTGCGATTTGTGTGAGAATTCATCGGGACAAAACACTAGATGTCAGTGTTGTAGTTGGTCAAGACTTCTGCTTTTCAGCATCTGGTATTCTTCACTGATAAACCTTTAAGCCATCCTGTTCTTTACATTTAGATAGAATAGATGCTTACTATGTTTTTATTGGCTGTTTTCTAATACGTTACAGATTTTTTGAACTATATTAAATATTTACTTTTTACATCCTTTTCATGAGTTCTCAGCACTTCAAACATAAAGGTATTGTGCAAAAGTAATGCCAACATTGGGAGTATTATAACGACCAGCTAAAAGGTCAGCTCTTTCCATCATTTCTCTCTTTTAAACCAATTTTAATTGAATGTATTGGGGTGACATTGGTTAATAAAATTATACAGGTTTCAGGTGTACAATTCTATAATACTTCATCTGTATATTGTGTTGTGTGTTCACCACCCCAGGTCTCCCATCACCATTTATTCCCCCTGCTGTTTTCTGTGTCCGTGAGTTTTTTTGTTTTTTTGTGTGTGTCTGCCTAGTTCTTAGGTCTTAATCCCTTCATCTTTTTCACTCAGGCCCACAGCCTTCCTCCCGTCTGACAGCTGTCAGTCTATTTTCTATTTTTGAGTCCGTTTCTGTTCTGTTTGATAGTTTATTTTGTTCATTAGATTCCACATACAGATTGGTGCAGCCACTGTGGAAAGCAGTATGGAGTTACCGCAAAAGCTTAAAAATGGAGCTGCCTTATGACCCAGCAGTTCCACTTCTGGGATTGTTTTTTTTTTTATTTTTATTGTTTTTTGGTTTGTTTTTTTTTTGCTGCCTGGGTCCTGGGTCCTGACCCTACAGCCTCCCCTGTCAACAGGGCTGGGCCAGACCTTCAGAGGCTGGCGGCCAGGGTGGAGGGTCCCACTGTCACTGCTCTCCATTGTCCCTGCAGCTGTGGTACTTGTCACTGTCCCAGAGAATGGGAGCGGATGGAGAACGGTTATAGGGCTACCTCTGCCACCGGCATCAGAGTTTAATCTGTTCCTTCTCTTAGGTTCCACAGGAAGGCGTGCGTCACAAAAGGGCCACTTTTCTTCTGATGACGAAGCAGCGGAGGCTGACAATGAAGATGAGCTGGAACCCTGTGACGATGACGGTGACGATGCTGCTGGAGCCGCCGCGGGGACCAGCTCGGGCTGGGCCGACGCCATGGCTAAAATCCTGAACAAGAAAACCCCTAAGAGCAAACCCACCATCCTGGTCAAAAACAGAGAGCTGGAAAAGGAAAAGGAGAAGTTAAAGCAGGAGAGACTAGAGAAGAGAAAGCAGGTATGTCGTCCGGCTGCTCTGGAGATTAGATTGCGTGTCTGCCTGGTTCTTAGGCCTTATCTGGGCCGCCTTGTCCCTGCAGTGTTTGTTCAGTTAACATTCCAGTGTTGGACTTTTTGTCTGTGGGGTTGGATAACCAGGGTTCTGTTCACAGTCCTCATCTGAGTTACTCCGTGGAGTATATTTACTTTTTAATCACCTGGAAAGCAATAGAGATATAAACTCCAAGCAAGTTTATCCTTTTAAAATCAAGGAATTACCCATGTGGTTTTGACCCCTGTCTTTTTATTCCATTTGGCTGGCCATGTGCTAACTTTATTAGGTGCTGGGCTTATCATCCTATTAGTTGCTTTTTTGCCAAAACCTATTTTATAATAAAGATCTGTGACGATGTCCTTAGGGATTGGTTGCAGTTCTGAAAACCGACTATTTCGCTGCTAGATCACCTTGAATTCAGTCTACCTTTGGGCAAACCTCTGGTGATAGACATTAGAGCAGGGGTCCTCAAACTTTTTAAACAGGGGGCCAGTTCACTGTCCCTCAGACCGTTGGAGGGCCGGACTATAGTTTAAAAAAAAAACTATGAACAAATTCCTATGCACACTGCACATATCTTATTTTGAAGTAAAAAAACAAAACGGGAACAAATACAATATTTGTATTTGCATGTGGCCCGCGGGCCGTAGTTTGAGGACCCCTGCATTAGAGTAATGCATTAAAGGGGGCCTGGAGAGGCGGTTTTGAATTAGGTTATTTTATCTGGGGTTTTCTTATTTCCTGGCCCCCTTCTGCTTCTGCGTGGTGGGAAAGAATCCGTGTGCTGTGATTTGCGACCAAGTTGCCATATGTGGCACAGACGATGGTCAGATGTGCCGTAGAAAGTGGATTTCAGTGCTTCCTGAGAAGGAAAACAGCCGCTGTGTAAATAGGCTACATCTGGATATGACGCTGTCCATTTAAAAGCTGATACAAAGTCTTTATCCTTCTGCCTGCCGGGAAGGCCCATTTCTAAAAAGCGACAGTGTGTAAACTGTGGTTACAGGAGGGGGGCTTGGGGTCTTCCCGGTGCCCCCTCTGATCTGTGACAGCGGATCAGGACCACAGCTCCCACACCTGCCTGGTCCCGGGCCCCGCCATCAGCCCGGCGGAAACCCACCCGGTGCCTCTCACATGCCAGGCTGAGTGCTAACCACAGGCTCCCGTGCGGAACCCCTAAAGCGCGGGTGTTTCTAAGTCCCCGAGACACACCGAGCCGGATGATTGGTGACCTTTGTCCTCTCGGAGGATCGTGTCGAGTGCTGCCCTTTCCGAAATGCCCGATGTTCTTTCATAACCTTGTCTATCTCGCAGCTCGATAAGAAGCGGGAGTGGGAAATGATGTGCAGGGTCAAGCCAGATGTGGTCACCGACAAAGACACCGAGAGGAACCTGCAGAGGATCGCCACGAGGTAAGGCAGAGGTGTGGCCCCTTAAGCCCTCAGTACACCACACTCACCCCCCCCCCCCCCAACACACACACACACACTCGATTCTCAGAGCCAGTGGCTGTGTGTAAGCCAGCCTGCCTGCTCCCGAGTTCAGCCAGAGGCTGCGGGCCTCTTGGGAAGGAATACAATGTGCTAAGTGTATGATCGGTACGAACCTATTTCACATCATCTTGCTTTTATAGTCGAGAGAACAGTGTTATCAGAATACCCCCTGCGTGGCTCTCATGCTGGTGTCTAAATTTACAGCACTCGGCGATTTTTGTTACCTTGCGTTATATTTATGGCATGGTGAGTTTCATGTTATAGCAGCTTCATGCTACCCTTTTATTCTGCACTTTTTTATCATTGGCACCACACATTTATTTGATGCCCTGTGTGTCCAGATAAGTAGAATCTGGTGGCTGCTGGGGGGTCCTTGCCCGACCCATCCGGAGGAGTTCTCGTCGCCTGAGAATCGAGGTGCATCTGGTGATGGGGACAGGTCCCAGGAGAGGGTACAGGGGAGTCGGGCAAGTTCATGGAGGTAGCTTTTCGTTCCTCCCTAAAGAACACCGCAGTTATGTGTAGTGGGCTGACGTTAACTGCCTAGTCACCTGCGTTATTTGGTCCTTTTCTAATGCAGTGGTTCTCAACCTTCCTAATGCTGCGATCCTTTCATACAGTTCCTCATGTTGTGGTGACCCCCAATGTCATTGTTACAAATTGAACATAATTAAAGCATAGTGATTAGTCACAAAAACAATGTGTAATTATATATGTGTTTTCCGATGGTCTTAGGTGACCCCTGTGAAAGGGTCGTTTGACCCCCAAAGGGGTCGCAACCCACAGGTTGAGAACCGCTGGTCTAATGCATCTGGTGATGGGCTAAGTGTGTGAGCGGGAGAGCCAGTCTGCTAGGTTCAGATTCCAGCCTGACGGACGAGCTGTGTGTCCTTGGGCCTGTTACTTAATGCCTCTGTGTCTCCATTTATTTATCTGTAAAACCAGGAGAATATTATACCTCCCCGTAGGGTTTCTCTGAGAATTGAATGAAGAGCTTAGAAAAGTGCAGGTTTGATGCAGGGAGTAAGTGCATTTAGTTTTATGTCCTGGGCACCTCACATTGTTCACCTTGGTCCCCACCCTGCTGTGAAGGGATGGGATTTTGCCCTGTTTACAGCCTAAACTCGCCTGTTAGAATTTCCTGGATGCTGACAGGAGACAGACTTCTGGGTCAGAGACACGGGACTCCGTTACTCACGGCAAAGGTGGTCGCCGAACATCTCATTCCCGCTGGCTCCCCCGGTCCCCACGGCCGGCACAGGTGCCCTCGGTGGCCGCCTGCTCGTGCAGTGGTTCACGTTACAGGAGGGAACGCCGTGCGGGGAACGCTCTTGCTTTTACGGTGAATGGGAACAAGCCGGCTCTTTGTCTGGGGGAGACGTTACCTCATTTCTCAAGGTTGCGTGCTGCAAACACAACCCTGAGAAATGTTCTGGGTAAAGAGCAATTAGGGCCCGAATTCGTGAAAAACCCAGCAAGAGTGCACAGGATGGTCAGGCCCGTGGCGGATCAACTCTCCCTGTGGCTCTCGTAGCAGGAAATGAACAGGTTACAGGATTTTAGAGTTGGGGGGGATGTTAATGGTCTAAATCAGTGCTGCCCCAGTGGAAATAGAATTTGAGCCACATACGTCATGTAGATTTGTCCAAATAAGTAAAAGAGGTGAAGTTAAGTTCAATACCATGTTGATTTTACCCAGTACATTCTAATGATCACTATTGCAACATGTTATCGATATAAAACAATTATTAAGGAGATTCTAAAATTCTTTTTCATACTAAGTCTTCAAGTATTTTTAAAAATTGGATTCTAAGATTAGTTTTATATCCTAAGAGTTGCAAATAGTGTAGCTGACTACTTCTTGAGCTACTTGGGTGTCACTTTAACCCTTTGCCAATGAAATGAAGACCCAGAAAGTCTTCCCTAGTATCAGGTGCTCCTACTCGCCGCAGAGCCCCAACTGCATATAGTCCCACTCAGAGAAATGGGTGCTGGTGTTAAAAGTAATTCTTAGTTCTGATTGCATAGAAGTTGATAGAGAAAGACCAGAGCTGAAACAAAACAGATCACATATCAATCCACATATATTCATCCTATGAATGTGTCCATAAACTTCCATTCATTCATTGAAATGCGTGATCACCTTCCAGAAGTCTCTAACCAGTCAGCTGTTTTCATCGGCTTGCCTGCTTCATGCTTGCCTCTCTCCTCAGCAGCGCAAACACACTTTCTATCCTCGGAGTTTGTAGTCTAGAGCGGCGGTCGCCAACCAGTGGCCCATGGACCACTGGTGGTCCGTGAGGTCCGAGAGGTTGAGGACCGCTGGTCTAGCGTCATCGCTGTTAACTACCTTGTTCTGCCGCCCTGTGGTCCCCAGGGGTGTGGTGCAGTTATTCAACGCCGTCCAGAAGCATCAGAAGAACGTTGACGAGAAGGTCAAGGAAGCCGGGAGCTCGATCAGGAAGCGTGCGAAGTTGATCTCAACCGTTTCCAAGAAAGATTTCATCAGCGTTCTCAGGGGGATGGACGGAAGTGCAGGCGAGAAAGGTTCGACCGGAAGGAGCTCCCAGGCCAAGCAGGTGAGACTTTTATACCAAGTTCAGTGCATCAGACTCTTAGCTTTCACACTAGCGCAGCCGTGGGCAAACTACGGCCCGCGGGCCGGATCCAGCCCATTTGAAATGAATAAAACTAAAAAAAAAAAAAAAAAAAGACCGTACCCTTTTATGTAATGATGTTTACTTTGAATTTATATTAGTTCACACAAACACTCCATCCATGCTTTTGTTCCGGCCCTCCGGTCCAGTTTAAGAACCCATTGTAGCCCTCGAGTCAAAAAGTTTGCCCACCCCTGCACTAGCGTCTGGGGGTGAAAAGGCACACGGTAGAATTACAGTGCTTTTTAGATTTTGTTACAATTACATGCCCACAGCCTAGTCAACGTGGGTTCTTAAGTTTCAGGATGGTTTATTCAGTGTGGGAATTGGCAATGATGGATGCCATTCCCCTGCTCTTAGAACTCAGGGGCCACTAGATTCAGGTACCTGTCCTGTCTGAAGTCCTGCCTCCTGTGCATTGGGGAGAGAGGAAGCCTCCGGGAGACGGACATGCAGCTTCCGTTATGTTGGCAGCAGAACAATGACGCGGCTGAGCTTGTCTGGCTTTCTGACCGTGGGCCCATAGTTTCCATTTGTAATGATGTACCAGGTGAAAGTTCTGGAATGGGCTTTCGTCTCAGAAGGACTGTTTTAAAAATAAATAAGTAAAGCAAAGTACACAGTTATACGTGCTGGCTTCTTTCTGTTGCCAGCAGAGAACTTCAGTCAGGAAGTGAGTTTCGTCATTGTGTGTGCCTGTGTGTGTGTGTGTGTGTACGTGTGTGTGTGTGTGTGTGTGTGTGTGTCTGGGGAAAAGAACCCTGGCAGGAGGAGCATGTAGGAATTGCATGCTGGTCTAGGGTTGAGGTATTTTTCAAGTTCCTTGATTTAGTTGCCATTTTGCCTAATTTTGACAAGTTTAAGGACCCAGATGGTGGATCTGTGTAGTAAGTGTTGGTGAGAAGGAAGTGTAAACATGTGAAAGCTGTGTTTGGGGATTTACACGTTTCAGGTAAGAAGGCAGGCGTGTTCTCACTGGTGACCTTTCACTGAGAACTGGGGGAGGACCCAGCCGCTTGCACGAGGAGCGGGTGGGAAATGGGAAAAGAAGCGCCCTCTGTCTGCATGGCGACCCTCTCCGCGCTCAGACTGAAGAGTGACGTGGATAGAGTCGGTTGAACATCCTCTGTGAGCCCGGAGGCTTCTGGGTGCTGAGCTCAGGATTGAGGGGCGTTGGTTCTTTCATGGGGGGTGCCCACTGGCAGGGCCTGTCCTGTTCCTTCTGGGGCCCTGTATGTTTTCCAGGGAAGAACCCTACAATCTGCTGCCTACACATGGCGGAGGAACTCGCCAACCTTCTTGAAGCAGATTGTAGGGACAGGCTGGGGCCCCAGCGTTCAGCCCGTAGGATTCCTCGAAGGAGCCCGGTTTGGCTGCTGATAGGAAAGCGTTGACTCGGTGTTATGTCTCGAATTACAGGCTTTGTGCGAGGTTTTCATTGATTTGAACTGGCCCGCACGTCACTGTCAGCTTCTGTTCTGTTGTCAGGAAACCACACTAGGAACTTCGCAGAACAGGAAAGTGCTAGCAGTTTCTGTTAGGAAGGGTTTCCTTAGTGATGGATTGTGGGGCAACACATTTCAGTCAAAATCCCTCGGTTAAATCGGGTACTGGGAGAGACTAGGTATTTATTTATTTTTCTGTTTTTGTGAAGAATGTCAAACAGAAGTGAGTTCAGGGGCTCTGTCCGCATACATTTCTCATAAATGGCAACCAGGTGATCCTTCAGAGCTGGTTTTCAGTGGTGGGAATGCCTGTGACATACGGGCTTCTTGGTATCCTAGTGACGTGAGCTAGACTCCACTTGCCATCTCCTTTTAAAGTGTCCAGTCCTCTGCTCATGGCCTGGCTGAAGTCCTGCTCCCAAGCAGGACGCTAGGAATGGAGGGGCGCCTCACACTGGCCCCCAGGTGTTCCCAGCAACTGTGGGCCTTGCTTCTCGCATGGAGGGGGGTGTGGAAGGCAGGCAGCAGGCAGAGCGATGCTGTCCTCAGGTTGCCCCTGCCTCGCATGGCAACTGGCTGCTTTCACATAAAAGCTGCTCTCACAGGAATGCGTGGAATCCCAGCTTTGTAAATCATCCAGCTCAATGTTTGTTTACGGCAAATGCCTAAATAGATTAGAGTTTAGACAAAAGGGAGACTCCGAGTTTGCGGTGAGAGCGAGCACTGCATTGCTGTCTCTGGGAACGCGGGAAAGCCAGTTTCCCACTGTGCTCGCCTCCGAAGCGGGCTGGTCAGCTGCTCTGGGCGGTGTCTGGTGTGAGCAGCGTGAGCCTGTGGGGCAGGGTGGTACCTGCAGCATTTGACTCGGGGAGTGTGGGTCAGGGGAGGACTTAGGACCCTTCCAGAGCGGCGGTGGAAATCCTTAGTTACCTTTAGAATAAAGTTCAGGGTGGGCCGTGCACCTGCTGGGCCTCTCTGAGGAACTGTTCTCTGTGAAGTAGCTGCCCGCAGAGGATGTTCATCAGTGAGGTTGAGGCCCTTTAATAACCTGACTGTCCTGCATAAAGTGGGTCATGTACCATGTGTTTGCACTTAGAATGCATTTTTTTAAATACATTTTTTATTGATTTCGGAGAGGGAGGGAGAAGGAGAGAAGGATAGAAACATCAATGACGAGAATCATTGGTCGGCCGCCTCCTGCACACCCCCTGATGGGATTGAGCCCGCAATTGGACACATATCCTGACTGGGAATCGAACCGTGACCTCCTGGTTCATAGGTTGTTGCTCAGCTACTGAGCCGCGCTGGTCAGGCTGTGGTGCATTTTTAAAATTGAAAAGAATATTTTGCTGTTTCTTGCTCAAAAAATAGTAATTTTGAGTTGTGGGCAGTTGAGAATGTTGATGGGGTTGTACGATGCTTTGTACACAGTGGCCCAGGCCATGGGCTCCAGTACCAGCCGGCCTGGGTGCAAGACACCTGGCCCGCCCTCTGGGTCACTCACCCACATTGTGCCTCGGCCTCTAACCTGTTCTCAGGTCATCATTCTAGTGGTGACAGCCACCTCGTAGATACTGTGAGGGTCGCGGGAGTTAGCACATTATGCCCGGCACACAGCAAACACGTGTCCTGAGAATGAGTTCTTCACATGTCGTTCTTATTGTTCCTACCAGATGGTAGTCAAAGATGAAGCTGTGGTGGGAATCCAATTTGAAAGGGAACTGACTACTTTTGAATTACTGGGTGACCCCAGAATTCTCTAATAATTCAATAAAGCTTGTGTTTAGATTTGGAATGTTCTCTCGTTTTAGGTGTGTCTGGACTAGTAATGTATAATTCTCACAAAATAGTAAAACTAGATTTGGGGGGCCGAGAGCTCTGTCCCCATTTCAAGCTAGGGCTGAGCTAACTGTGACTTGCAGGGTTTTTTTTGTTTTTGTTTTTTAATATATTTTATTGATTTTTTACAGAGTGGAAGGGAGAGGGACAGAGAGTTAGAAACATTGATGAGAGAGAAACATCGACCAGCTGCCTCCTGCACACCCCCTACTGGGGATGTGCCTGCAACCAAGGTACATGCCCTTGACCAGAATTGAACCTGGGACCCTTCAGTCCGCAGGCCAACGCTCCATCCACTGAGCCAAACCGGTTAGGGCGACTTGCAGGGTTTTACTCACCCAGGAAAGGGGTTTCTCCACCATGCTGTTTATGTTCCCATCTTTGCAAAAGGATTCTCCCCATTTAGATAAATACTTCTCATTTCACAGGCAGAATTTTCAGGTGGGTTTTAATGGTTGGCAGGGAGATTACTAACAACAGTTGCAAAGAGCTTACACTATAAGTTTGCAACAACAAAGGCGTTAAGATGCTTTTAGCCAGCATTCAGACCCTTTTTTAATTTAGGTGAAACTAAATTAAAGTGAAAATTGAACGTTCTTGGTGAAAGCCAAGAAATCAAGTATCGCTGATTGCGAAATGCAGATGGATGATGTTGTTTATTTTTTTAGGGTTTGACTCTAATTTTCCCTTCAAACCTGGAGTGCGGTTAAGCTCTTCACTATTGGGTGTGAGACCAACGAGGAATCCCAAGCCTCACTTCCGTTTTCTGGGCAGTAGCTGCCCGTGGGTGTTTGAACCTTGAAGTGGAAGCTGATGAACATTTCTCAGGCTTGTCTTCATCTTCCAGATCGACACAGACGCTGCTGTGTGATCTCGATGAAATCTTTGTAGAAAGCCAGGCCGAGGAGGGCGGCGAATATTTTGTTTCCCTGCCTCATGTGGTTTTCATTAGGTTTTTGCATCTAATCAGTTTCACTGTTCAGCTGCCGTGGGCACGGAGCGCGAGACCCTGTAGGCTGCCCCCTAGGGCACGGTTAGCTGTGTCTTACGTTAGGTTATGTTTACCCTGGTGGGGCCCAGGCTTTCGCTCCATCAGGATCTCGAGGGCTTATAAGGCCCATGGCTGGGCTCTGCCCGAGTTTCTGGGTAGCAGGAACGGAGCCCGGGAGAATGGATTTCTCCTAAGTGATGGAGATGCCCTTGTCTGGCCTGGGGCCACACCTGGAGAGCACGCGATGCAGTCGCCCTGACCGCTCAGAGCAGAAACACCCCACCGCCCCCAGAGAGCCTGGCTTCACTGTCCCCCTTCAGGCTGGACAAGCCAGGGGGGCTTTGAATTTATCCTGCTATGGATCTTCCTGCCTAAAGTACACGCTTACACCCGTAATTGTCTTTCCAGACCAGGATTGTGAGACAATTGATCGTGACATTTCCATTAACGAACTCTTCTTCCCATTGGCCCACTGATGTTCTTTTCTCTTTCTCCACTGCTGTGGTGCCCCACCCCCTTATCCATGGCTTCACTTCCCATGGATTTAGTTACCCAGGGTACCTGAAGCCGGAAGGTATTAACTGGAAAAGTCCACGCCCCTGTATCTCATCACGTAGGCCCTGTGTCATCTCCCATCAAGAAGAGCGGTGCGTACAGGACAATGAGATGTTGAGAGAGCGCACATTCATGTAGCTTCTGTTCCGGTGCACTGTTACGATCTATTTTATTATTGTTACCATTAGTCTCTTACTATGGCAAATTTCTAAATTACACTTGGTCATGGATAGGTATAGAAACGGTATGTATATACAGAATTCAGTGCGAGCTTCCACTTCAGGCATCACTGGGGGTCTTGGAACGTATCCCCAAGGGTAAGGATAGGGACTCGTTTAGTGTTTTGTCCCTGCTCGCCCCTCCCTCCTTTCTGTTGTGACACTAACGGGGCAGGGAGCTCTCCTGCGGGACACTGCACTCGGGCGGTGATGGGGTGTCCGCCGCACCGGCTGGTAACATGTGGATGGCATGTTGGGTGTAGTTAGCTAGACGGAGGCTGCCAGTGAGATTGTGCGCATTCCCATGTAAACACAAACATCGGTGCCAGGACAAGCCTTTCCTCGTCAGGAATTTGGATAAGGAAGCGTGTGCTTTTTAGGATTTAACTGAAAGTGTGAGTGATGCCTTTGGCAGGAGAGGTGTCATAGTTGCTGTTCCTAAGGGAACCTGTGTTCATTGGGAACAGCTCTTTCTCTTACGTGAGGTGAGGAGACTGGCAGAGAACACTGGGGTTGCATCGGGGAAAATGGCCTTCTGTCCATTTGGGTAACTGACTCTAATCAGGGCAGTGGGTTCGGTGTGTAGGAGTGAGGGGTGGGCGGTGTCAGCGTGTGCCAGGCAAAGGGTTAAAACTGACCTTCCTCCTTTATCGCTGTCCTACGGGGTGGCCCTGGGGCGGTCTTCCTGTCGCTCTTGGACCAGCACACGCGGTGTTTGTGTGTCTTCATGTTGGTGATTTTAGCACCGAGTGCACTGCTCGGCTCTCTAGTCAGTTCTGCAGTTGGGCTGACATTCGCATGCTGTGCTGTCAGCCCCGCTTCATCCCTTGGTCCCAGGGAGATGGAGGAGGGACAGTGGGGGACACTTTCCTCTTTGTGACGGCATCTGTTACTTTACATGGAGTGACTGTTTCCAGGCTGTTGTTCTTAAAAAGGAAGTGCAGCAGAATTAAGTAAGTAAGCCCTCGTAACCCAGCAAATGTCTTTAATATCGTTTCTCTTAAAAATTCCTTTTTATATGGTTTATGACCCCCATGAAGATAATATGTTCTAACCAAAGGCCATGGGATCTTTCATATTTAGAGAGGTTTGTCCAGCGCTGTGTATTTCTGTGGGTGGAATAAATAGGAAAGCAGTGACTCTTAGCTTCACGAAGACGGGGACTCTGTTTTGAACAGAGCCTAGACACATACACGGTTCTAGGTAAATACTTATGGAGCCAGGGGAAGAAATAATCCCAGAGCTTGTCGTTCTGCATAGATTGTATCAGTTACCACCACACGGTGGTGCTGTTGTCCCATGAAATGAGAGGCTGTCTTAGGCTCAGCTGTGTGTAGTTTTACATAAATCCTATGAAGAAACAACAAACTGTCTACCTCTGCTTATTGCCTGCTCACTTATTTGTAATTTTAGCATGTGATTAGGCTTTCTTATTACATGATTAGGTCAGACAGTGAGACCATAACCCAAATAAAGACCATTTGTTTCTCATTTTACCAGCTGTTAAATGAGAGAGGATCCATGAAAACCTAGCCCAGTTAGTTTCTTTTCTCTCCTTTACTTTGGGTTAAAGACCTTCATTAAATTTCTATTTGTCTTTAAATAATTTGCCAGAAGTCTTCTAATAAATTATCAGTGAACTTGAAATAATAATATAAGATTGTTTTGTCAAAAGATTTTAAAAATTGATATCATATCTGGGATTGTGATCCCTCCAACTTTGTTCTTCTTTTTCAAGATTGTTGCCGCTGTCTGAGGTTTTTTTATTTTTATTTTTTTGGTTCCATATAAATTTTTGGAGTGTTTGTTCTAGATCTGTGAAATATGCCATTGGTATTTTAATGGGGATGGCATTGAATCTATAGATTGCTTTGGGTAGTATAGACATTTTGATGATGTTGATTCTAGTAGCTTTTTGGTAGAGTCTTTAGGGTTTTCTATGTTCAATATCATGTTATCTGTGAATAATGACAGTTTTGAGATGACTTTTATGGACCTAAATAGACACTTCTCTAAAGTGGACATACAGAAGGCCAAGAGACATATGAAAAAATGTTCAGTCACTAATCATCAGAGGATGCAAATTAAAACAACAATGAGGTTTCACCTACACCTGTAAGAATGGCTCCCATCAACAAATCAACACATGACAAGTGCTGGCGAGGATGTGGAGAAAAGGGAACCCTAGTGCACTGCTGGTGGGAATGCAGACTGGTGCAGCCACTGTGGAAAACAGTATGGAGTTTCCTCAAAAAATTAAATATTGGAACTGCCATTTGACCCAGTGATCCCACTTCTAGGAATATATTCCAAGAAACCTGAAACACCAATCAGAAAGAATGTATCCACCCCTATGTTCATAGCAGCGCAATTTACAATAGCTAAGATCTGGAAACAGCCCAAGTGCCCATCAGTAGATGAGTGGATAAAAAATTTGTGGTACATTTATACCAAGGAATACTATGTGGCAGTTAAAAAGAAGGATCTCTTACCCTTTGAGACAGCGTGGAGGGACCTGGAGAGTATTATGCTAAGTGACATAAGCCAGTCAGAGAAAGACAAGTATCACATGATCTCACTCATATATGGGATCTAATGAACAAACTAGATCCAGAGACATAAAAGCATGGAACAGACTGAGAAATCTGAGAGGGAAGGTGGGGTAGCGAGGTGAGTGGGAGAGATTAACTGGGGAACTTAAATGCATATATGCATAGCATGGACACAGACAGTAATGTGGTAAAGGCTTGGGAGGGGTGGGTGCAGAGAGAAGGGGTCAGGGGAGGGGGCACATCTGCAATACTTTCGACAGTAAAGATAAATTAAAAAATTGTTGATACCAAACCTAGATCTTATTACATATTCTCCCTATTGCAAAAAAAAGTTTGCTTCCATGATTCTTTTATGGGGTTAAAATATTTTATTAGCAGATATCTCTTTAGCTGTTTGTACATATATGATTACAATGTATGAATAAGGCCACTCTATGCTTTGTCTTAATTTCACTCCTATTGCTGAGAAGTGTGCTTTGTGACATGGACTCTCTCAGTCTCCCTGCAATTAAATTGGTTCTTGAATATTGTGTTTCTGTGCTTGTCCTCAGACGGAAGTGAGAGAAGAGGGCCCAGGATGGAGCATCCTCCGAGACGACTTTATGATGGGAGCGTCCATGAAGGACTGGGACAAAGAGAGCGACGGGCCGGACGGCAGCAGCCCGGGCGGGGGGAGCGACTCCGACACATAGTGGACGTGCAGGAGGCACCGCGACATCGCTCTATTCTTCCTAGAGGAACACTTCCCGCTCCGAAAGCTGGCGGGCCATCAGGATGCCTGAGAAAGCCAGAAGACTTGCACTTGTCACATAAGCTTTGTTAAAGTTACGTGTTCGAACTGTGTATAAGTTTAAGCATTTGTAAAAGAAATGTCCCTCAAAACATTTGTGAAAAGAAATGTTTCGACTTGTCCAGCGAGAGGCTCATTTTGCCCATCACTGGTTTACAAGTTGGTCTTGGGTTTTGGCGTCTTGTCGCAGGTATTGTATTGCCAGCGTTTCCAGAAATGCAGTGTTCTTCATCATGAAAATGAACTCAACGTTAATGTTCTCCACCTACAGATCTGTGCATTATAGTTTGTGGGGGGACGGTTGGTGTTTGTTTTGGTGACCTATTGAGAAAACGTGGGTAGTAAAGTTTTAAATTATAGTATTTCTGATTTGGAGTAATGCTTTTATTTTTTTTTAGATATTCTGGCAAATATATAAGAAACATGTCAAATCTATACTTTTCTATTACTTTTATGTGCTGGAATGTACATAAACAATGCCTTAAGATTTATTTTAAGTGTGGGCTATCTTTACTCTCTCGTGTCATTTCACATTCAGTGCGTGCGTGCGTGTGTGTGTGTGTGTGTGTGTGTGTGTGTGTGTGTGTGAGAGAGAGAGAGAGAGAGAGAGAGAGAGACAGACAGACAGACAGACAGACTGACTGTGAGTTACCTTCAATTCTCTCTCATGGTTGGATGACCAGTGAGGTTGTAGTTAGCTGACAAGAGGTCTGTTAAGTAAAAGGAGAATGCAAAGTAAGACTAGTGTTGTCCCAAAATTTCTGTGAAACTGGGCCTAAGACCTAAATCTGTAGGGGAATTGTTCAATAAATGTGATCTCTTCCCTTTTTTAAAAAGGCTCTGTCCCTTTGTCCATCTTGCATAATACAGATGGGTCCCTCCTGCTACCCAGGCACACACTTGCTCTGTTAAACACCAAAGGAGAACCCTCCCCAAACTCTGCTAGAGAAGGGATGTTTATATTCTTCAGCCCGGTGAGTGTGGCAGGCATTGCATAACTGGAGTTAAATTAGTCCACGGCCTGGCATTTGTTATCATAAAGGAAGGTGTACACCTACGATATCAGGTGACTAAACCAGCAAAGCTCAAATGCATTTTTGTATTTGTTCCAGCTTTTGAGCTTGAGTGCCTTATTAAATGATAGGACTGCCATTTGTCAGTGTAATATAAATAAATGTGAGCAAATATTCTTCAGTAGTAGCAGAGGAGGGCTAAATACCCCTTGTAACTTAACGCAGGTGAATATTCCGTTCCATATAACCTAACACATAGGTGATTTGGGGGGAAAATATATATATATCACCAAAATACTGTTTTCTCCCCAGAATTAAAAATTACACTTTATTTTTTATTACTCTTTCTGCTTCATACTGAACCTTTGCAAAAATTCTGAATAAAACTGGTAAATAACTTCTCATTATTAAAACGTTTTTGAATGTACTCATTGTATAGTGCTTAGATTAATTTAGAAAAAAATTGAACAAGATTTCAATCTGAAGGTAAGGAAAAGCATATTTGCAGATTTTCTTTCAGAATTTATTTTATTCCAAAATAAAATTGAGTTGCCACTATAAAAAAACAACAACATCATGTTAGAGGCTATAAAGAAAACATTTAAGCAAAATGCCACCATATTTGAATCTGAATCTAAGAATGAGCATGTGATTTTAGAAACTACCTTTAGGTGAGTGGTTTACAAACCTCTAAGTATCTAAATCCTTCTGACATCTATTAGATAAACAGTTCTGCATCTAGTTCCTCTTCCTACCTTGTCCTTGAGTTCTTTGAGGGGGGAAATGAGAAAGAACTGCATTTCCATCCCCACCCCCGATTTATCTAAATACAACAATACTTGGATGTTATCTTTGGTGACTATTTAGAGTGATATAGTAATAAAGAAGTTATTTTCATTTGTTTACAAGGAACAATGCAAAATAGTAGCCAGGCAACTAGTGACTAGAAGTTATCTTACTTCCTTATCTGAAGGTTTAGGTGGTGGGGGTGAGTATGGGGCATTGTTTAGTATTGATTATTGTTCTTCAGCATGGAAATCTCCAAGTCAGAGGTAATACCCTCGTCGTCGAGGGAAAATAACAGTCATCTTGCCAGTTTAGCACTTTAACCTGGAGTCGCAGTCCTGGATTTACCTCGAATCCCTCTTAGGTCAAGTATTATTCTACTTGGAAAGGACACCTTGGCAGCCATTGGGACGGAACAGCTCAAAGGCTCACCTTTAGTGCTTCGAGCCTGGAGTGACTCAGTGGGAAGCCCGAGAGGTTATTTGAGGGTAAGTCCCAAGTTCTTCAAAGCATTTTGTGTCTTTTACAACAAGTGGGTGAAGAGGGAGTGTCTGGGTTCTGGAAAACCTCTTAGGGCTTTTTAATCACGGTTTTGCACATGTGAATATATTTAATAATACAGTGGCCCCGGCCCAACGAGTCCTGCCACCTGCGCGGCCTGGCGGACAGGAGGCGTAATTATACAGCCGTGTGACTACAGGGTGTAGGTGTCCTACTTCAACATATAATAATACGAGAAGCTCTAAAGTCCCAGGGTGAAGGGAAACAGAGACAAAATGAAATACACTTGCTTAGGAACTAAGGGAATCAAGAGGCCTAAGAAGGTGCCGTAAAGGAATCTTCAGAAAACATAAATATTTCTGCAGAAGAGGCAGGAGGAGATCCAATAAATAAGTTGATGCTTTTGCAGCCTTTGGACACCTTTCTTTTCTCCCTATATGTGTTGTGTGTGTTTTTGTTATCAGAGGTTTTTATTAATACACTAGAGGCCCGATGCACGAAATTCGTGCACAGGTAGGGTCCCTAGGCCTGGCCAGCGATCAGGGCCAATCTGTGGGGTGACCGGTGGGGCAATCTTGGGGGTGGGACCCGCTGGCACCCGCCTTAGCAGGCCTGGGGCCTGCGGGCTGGGGGCAGCTCCTGTGTTGAGTGTCTGCCCCCTGGTGGTCAGTGCATGTCATAGTGACTGGTCATTCCACTGGTCATTCTGCTGTTCAGTTGATTTGCATATTAGGCTTTTATTATATAGGATAATGGAATCCAAGTTGTGCATTAATAAGGGTCCTCGTTTAATGAGACTTGTGAGCAGATGACTATTTGGTGCTCTCTTGATATGTTCATTTTTATTTGGGAACACTTTGCAGAGGGAAACTGAATTCATCCTGCCCTTTCCTTAAATTCACCTGTTAGGGTCAGAGTGACTGATACTCGCGTCCACGCTGTACTTAGTGACAGGTAGAGAAGCTGTTGAGCCAGCCCTGCAGGTATTATGAGTGCGAAGACTATTTGAGGTCAATTGGCAGCAAGAGCAAACCTTGAAAACAGGAGAGAGCGCGACTCGGTGCCTACAAAGGCCCTCTCACCCCTTTCCCAGGAAAACAGGAGCGGAGCTTGGGCCAGCTGAATACATGAGTCCCCCGCCACCCCGCCCACCCCCCACTCCACTCTCCCAGCAAAAGGAGGCTCCCTGGGGAGCTTACCTGAAACTTGATGATGTTAATCTGTCGATGAACAGACTGGGAGGAGGGAGGAGGTTTGAGCGAGGTGGTATTTAGAGCAGCGATGGATACTGAACAAAACACGGAGTCGTGATGAATCGTAATGTAATCCCCCTGCTTTGGACGAAGCGCCTTCCGGGCAGCGCTTGATGATCCGGTCGGTTCCAGCGCACACTCGACATCTTGCTGGAGCACACGGAGGACGCAGATTTGGGGGGAAAACACAGAAAACAGAGCACGGAGGGCATTATTCTTCATTAGCGAAGCCAGTTTAAAATGATGCGCATTAACCACATTCATATAAATGACAGTTTCTCTAACCCCTGAATCATCCTGCATTTAAATATATATATTGATTGATTGATTTCAGAGAGGAAGGCAGAGAGAGAGAAATACCAATGAGAGAATCATTAATTGACTGCCTCCTTCACACCCCACACTGGGGATCAAGCCCACAACCCGGGCATGTGCCCTGACCGGGAATCGAACGGTGACCTCCTGGTTCCTAGGTCGATGCTCAACCACTGAGCCACACCAGCCGGGCTCTCCTGTATTTCTAATGCCATTGGTTCATACACATCAAAGCAAGAACCCCGAATTTGTGTGGGGACAGGACCAGCCAGGCTCGGGACGGGGACACAGCTGAGCGCTGTGCCCTCGTGCGTGGGTGGCCCCGCAGCTGTTGATCCCCCTTCCGGCTACCAGACAGTTGCCTCTTTGTGCCTGCAGATCTAGACTTCAATCTTATGTCCACGGAATGGACATCAACAAGGGGTTGACATCAGCTCTCAAAACATCGGCGAGGCAGCCAGGCAGTCAGCCTGAAATGCTGAGCAGCACCAAGTATAACATCGCGGCTATTGCTACATCATGTTTGTCTTTGTACAATAGCGCCAGGCACTCTTATATCTATATATATAAAAGCCTAATATGCTAAGTGTCCGGCTGATTGGTTGACCATTTGGTCGACCGCTCGACCAGTCGCTAAGACACACACTGACCACCAGAGGGTAGATGCTCCAACCGGAAGGTTAGCTTGCTGCTGGGGTCTGGCCGATCGGGACTGGGCGAGATGTCCCAGACACTCCCTGGAGCCCTCCTGTGGTCCCTCTCAGCTGGCCAACCTCCCATGGTCCCTCCCCGGCCAGGCAGCCCCCATTGGCCCCGATCAGGACTGGGTGAGACTGCCCCAAAGGGCCCCAATTGCCAGCCAGGCTGAGGGACCCCACCCATGCATGAATTCATGCACCGGGACTCTAGTCATAAATATAAAAGCTCAGTGCACAAGGTTCAAGGCGATCTTGACCTTCTCTACAAATGGGAGGAACACCCGGGTTGCATGGCCCAGCGGCCATATTTTGGTCCTTAGCACAACTAAGTGAAATTCTATTTACATCAACCCTTTCTTGCAAATAGTATCCAATGTTAGACAACAAGGCATCCCTTTGAGAACAGAACTAAGTGCAGAGTTCCGTGTGGACTCTTCTTAGCTACGTGTCCTTGACAAATTCCTTAAACTTTTTGGAGCCACTCCTGCTGGGCGGCTCTTGTCCTTTTATGCTGCTATTGTCACTTAAGGACATAACTTTTGCAAGTGTAGGTGCTGACATATTTTGCTATGAAGCATTAGATATTCTAAATAGGCTTCATAAATAAAGACTGGATTTTAGCTTAGAATGATATTGGCTAGGACAGAGGTTCTCAACCTGTGGGTCGAGACCCCTTTGGCGGTCGAACGACCCTTTCACAGGGGTCGCCTACGACCATCCTGCATATCAGATATTTACATGACGATTCATACCAGTAGCAACATTACAGTTATGAAGTAGCAACGAAAATAATTTTATGGTTGGGTCACAACATGAGGAACTGTATTTAAAGGGCCAGAAGGTTGAGAACCACTGGGCTATGAGATAGCAGGCAACTAAATCTTTACAATTAAGGAAACCCCATTGTTATTGAGCTGTGATGAGA